AGGAGATGGACTGACCCCAGAACCACAGGCAGAAGTCTATTTCCTGGTACAGACCCAGCAGCCAACAAATTTGGCTCTTCTCAATCAAGAAGCTTTTAGTAGGAGGGCAAGTTAAAAAGTAGTGCCACAAAATCACAGAAACCTTTATTAAACGAAAGCTGTCAAAAAGGTGGGTAAGCTGTTATTTTTCAACATATCCTCCCTCCATCTAGGTCTAGACCAGTGGCTCTCAACCTTCCTCATGCCGCAGCCCTTTAATACAATTCCTCATGTTGTGGTGACCCCTAAGCATAAAATTATTTTTGTTGCTATTTCATAACTGTAGTTTTGCTACTGTTATGAATCATAATGTAAATATCTGATATGCAGGGTGTATTTTCATTGTTACATATTGAACATCATGAAAGTATAGTGATTACCACAAAAACAATCTGTAATTATATGTTGTGAAATATTTATTTCTAATGACAAAGAAATGAAATTTTGTCTGGAAGCATGGTGTAGCACGGGTTAACAGTCTTCATGCCAGGTCCTCGTAGGTGGGTGTATCTGCAGGTAGGCGGACCCGCCTGGAGACGGATAGAGGGGTAGTGTCTCAGTCAACTAAGACCATCAGAAACGTGTATTTTCCAATGGTCTTAGGTGACCCCTGTGAAAGGGTCAGTCGATCCCCAAAGGGGTCTCGACCCACAGGTTGAGAACTGCTGGTCTAGACACTTCTAAAGGCGTGGTTTCCACATCTCTAACCCTTACCTGAAGACTGCAGAACTCCTAGACTGATACCACATCACACTGTCTGTGAGCATCATCCAGGGGCTCCTATGAAATGTTCCTTCTGTTTGAGAAACGAACAGAAGTCTAAAGGGGCAACTTTAGGGCTGTGGAATGGATGGGGTACAGTTGATCAAATTCCTGGCCTTTTTCTCACAATACAGTTTTCTATTTCCTTAAAATGCTCATATTAAGGCTCATAATAAGCCTCCATGATCATCTCATGTCCTTTGAGAAAATCTATCAAGATTATTCCTTCGAATCCCAATAAACAGTCACTGTAACCTTCTATCTGACATTTTCCTCCTTGAATTTACCTGGCCCAGCAGATTCCCTCAGAAGCCACTGTTCTGACTTGATTTAGTTTTAATGCATTCTAAAGGAGACTACGACAAGTGTATCACTGAGAGAGCATCCACTGATTGCAAAGACATGTTTAAACACAGTTTGGGGGGTGGGCCCCATTACCAAGCCCCATTACCAACTACCTGGACAGCCCTCCCTGCCCCCAGAAGAATTCACTTCAGAGGACAGCACCGAAGCTACAGCTCAGGGAGAGGGGTATGTCTGATCAGAGCACACAGGAGCAAATGAGGGGGGAGGTAAAAAGAGTGAAGCACATCCTGGCCCACCAAGCCCTGAGGACAAAATTTCTGCTCTGAGTAGCCAATGCACAGAGAGGACCGTAGGGCCGGCCCCACCATGAGATTCGACATTCCTCACTGACCCATAGCACTACGGGGGACAACACTGGAGACACACAGCAGGAATTGTGCCCGCCCTGACCCCACCACACCAAGGCGAGATGCTGGGGGCATGCAACAGAGCAACAAGGGGAACAGAGCAATGAAGTCCCCAGACAACACCAAAAATAAGACTGTGGGCCAGGGCATGGCACCTCATCAGACTCAACTGGAAAACACTAGTAAAGGACAACACATAGACCTTGAACTATTTACTTTTTTGTTGTTGTTGTAGCTATAGTTTTATTTTCTATTGTTGCTTTGGTGTGCTCAGTCTTGTGTTTGTGAACTATTCACTTTTTTACTGTTGTTGTAGCTATCGTTTTATTTTCCATTGTTGTTTTGGTGTGTTCAGTCTTGTGTTTGTGCATATTGTTGTCACTGCATGTCTATCTGGATGGGATGTTGGGATAAACAAACCGGAAGAGAGAACAACGGGATGATAGTTCC